GCGGAAAAGTTATACATCTTTCCCCACACTTGAGTGAAGCATGCAAGGTGTACTGCAACCGAGGTCTGTTTTTAGCTGCTGCTTTCAATTGCTTCCCTTACATACAAGCATAGGACAGCTGGGTTTGTGATGATAGTGAGTGGTTCTGCAAAGTTATTTTCTTTTTCTGTTGCTTTTCTAAAATTCTCTCCTGGGTAAACTTTTTATCTTTACTTTTTTTTTTCCCTGGTAGAATGTCTGGAGCCTCAGATATGAAGTGAGACAGAACCAGAGGTATCACAAAGGCAATTCTTGAAAATGATCTGCTTAAACCAAAAGGTTATGCAGTGTTTTGCATTTTACCCCAATTTAGATTGCCCGGCTGCGCAGTGAACTGGATATTGTTCGTGGGAATACAAAAGTCATGTCTGAAATGCTGACAGAAATGGTACCTGGACAAGAGGATTCCTCAGACCTTGAGCTACTCCAGGTAACAGTTTCCCAGCAAATGTGATTCTGATCCTTTCTGTGCTTGAGTTTCTCTGAGGGGTGTGGGTTTTGTTGTAGTTCACTTCACTGCCTTGGTTTGCTTGGTTTACATAATGAATGTGGGCTGTGCTTGATGCTTGTTAGTCTCATCACTTAATGTTCTTAATTTGTTAATGCTTCCAGTGACAAGGATTTCCTAACTTCCCTTAAAACTTGTGCCAGTGCTTTCTTCTCCGTGTAGCTAGAAATTTTTCCCAATGTTGAATATAAGGTCTCCTTTACCACAAAGCAGCTTAGAATTGCCATGGGCTCTGTAAGCTCTCAGCATTTCTACCTCTCTTACATCCTCCACCATGACTTGTACAGTCTCCATTCCCAGTCACTGTGCAGGAAAAAATCGCTCCATGTTTCCGGCCGGACTAAATATTGCCAAGGGTTTGTGGATTCTCTGCCACTTGAAATCTTGCATAGGAACTAACTGTCTTTCCAGAAGATGTGCTGTAGCTTCTCCTGAAGGTAGTGTCTTAAGGCAGGTGCTCAGGCGAAGATTCACGCTGTCTGAAGGGTTAGAATTGGTAAAGAGAAGGGATTTGTTTGCTGGAAAGTCTCAGTCCAGCGCAGCGTTTAGTATCTCAAGAGGGAAAATGGTGTAAGCTGAGCTCACATCTCTGGCTTCATACCTGTTTCCCTAGGGCAGTGGTAGCAGGGTGGCCTTTCGGCTGAGGAAAGTAGTACAGTACCACATGCAATACAGATGAGGAATACTGTGATCTAGCATTCCAGCTGCTGCCCTTAACATGGTATTTGCCTTTCTATAGCTTCAGGAATAGGCTTCTGTTTTGATTCTCCATCAGGGAGGATGGGCACCCACAGCAGTAGATTTGGAGAAAGGCAGGGAACTGCTTTCTGTGATACATCAGAGTTTGAAATCCATCCAAAAACTGGTCTCTCCCATGCAGCGGTATTGTGTGTTTGTCTCGGAGCCATCATGGCAGCTGATGAGAGGCTTTGCAATAAAGAGCCTTTCAGTTACTGCCCATTTGGGTCGGACTGCTCAAAACAAAAGAAGCTTCCAGGAAACCACAACAGACCAAAATAGCGTAGAACAGTTTGCTTACATTCAGAAACAACTACTAACATCTTGACAGCGTAACCTTACAGCATAGCTTTAAGGTGAAAGAACTTGATCATAAAATGGAGTGACAGCAACGATTCTTTATTCCAACTGGTTCCCTTCTTTGACTGATGCATCCTAAATCTGAATCACAAGCTGAGGAGAACCCGGTTTTGATCACAAAGGATGGTTAGTCTTTTGAAAGCTGTGAGCAGGGTGCTGCACGCAAGGACTCCTTGCTTTGAGGTTTATATAGCCCTCCTCCTTAAATAATTCCTGACATTTTCTCCAACAATCAAATGTAAACAGCTTGCTAGAGAGCCAGCTCTGAGCAGAATAGATAGGTACTGTCAGCCCTCTCGGAAAGGCAGCAAACAAACCTCTGAAATGTCACAATCTGCTTCTAAAGTGATGGGATCAAAACTGACATTGGAGAACACATTCCTCAAGCTGTTAAGGCAGCTGGATTGCACTAGGTGAAATTTATCCAGAGCTTAGGATGTCAGACCAAGCAAGGAAAACAAACACATTTTTGCTTTCATCCCAAAGGTTGTGTACCAACAAGTCATCCTTGTTTAGTGCTGAATTTTTGCTGTGAAGTGGAGCTGGAGGGGGGGGTAGAAGATGACAGAGGGACATGCTTTAGTTGGAATGTCAGTGCTTATTGAAGTAAAACTGTGGGCCTAATCAGTGGCGCTACGCCATATGTCACGTTTCTTCGTGTAGTTCCTCCTCAGCAGACTGGTTTTGACCTTTGATCTTGAGGCCTTTCAGGAGTAAAGAATTCTGCTAAGTAATTGGTGATGGAAAAAGTGTCCTGGAAGCATGAGAACTCCTGGTTTAGGCAAACTCAAATCTAGATTTCTTGGCGTGAGAGACTTCTAAAATAAATGCCCTTACTCTATATTCTTTAAAATTTTCTTCTGAAACTCCCCACTGCTGTTTTGCAGTCTCTTGTCTGTAGACTTGCTTAGTTGAAGGGAAGGTTTCTGTGTATAGCTCAGTACTGAAGTGTGTGTGGAGTGCTCATGTTTTCATGCTCCTGCTCCTTGTTTTGTGCTCACCCTCACGCTCTCAGTGGTTGCTGGGTTCTGTGTCCTCAACACTTCTCTTCCTAGCACACACTTAGCTACTTGTGGTAGCCCTGATGAACTTCTTTTCGCCACTTGTTCCACCATGTGCATCTTTTCGTTTTTAACTATTTTAACTATTGCCAAAAGTTGCAGATTGAATTTTCCCTGAGAGCTCTCTTCTGGAAAGCTGTTGTATTAACACGTTTTATTCTTAAAACAGATCACTATAAAATACAGATATTTATTTTCTGAAGTGCTCAGAGTTAAAGAAGAGTCAGGAAATTGAATTGTAAATAGGCTCTCAAGGTTTTATGCCATCGTCTCTTGAAGGGCATGTTTGATTAGATGTGCTTTTGGGTGACATTTAATCATGCAAAGATAAACTTGTCTTAGTGTTTCTCAGCTGGGAGATATGTTTGGCTGTGAACAGAGCTCAACTAAATCTACTTATTGCTAGCTGCTTATCAGAATGTGTGTGCACTATATGTTCCTCCTAGGAACTGAACCGAACCTGTAGAGCTATGCAACAGAGAATTGTGGAGCTTATCTCACGAGTGTCCAATGAAGAAGTCACAGAGGAACTGCTGCATGTGAATGATGATTTAAATAACGTCTTCCTCCGATATGAAAGGTGAGGCACCTTTTCCATCAGCTATTTTACATTCGTTCTGGGTTTTCACTTAAGTGTAAAATAGGTCAGTTGACAAGAGTTGGCCATCTGGGCCAATGGTCCAACATAATAAAATGCAGAGAACCAAACCACAGAAAGCATTGACAAAGTCTTTTTATGGTCTTTTATGGTAACATTCCTGTTTCAGTTGTTTCCTTTAATACTATGATTTTTTTTTTAATTTTTTTTTCCCTAGCCATTGAATTTTTGTGGGTCATATCCATAAAATGCAGGGCAACCTTGTGCAAAACTCTCTGAACTAGCAGAGACTTGAATCTGCAAGTCCCTGTTGTGCGGTGCGGTGCAGATGTAGTAACTTGGGACCGCAAATAGCACAGCCACAGTCGCTAGTTCTGCTTGCTAGCTTGGGCTCAGCACAAATGCTTGTGCTGCTTCCTGGCTTAGGGAGGCTCCCGTGAGCTCTCTCTGTCTTCTGATCTCTGAGCTTTCTAGTTCCAGTACTGGTGCAAGGGGAGCTGTCTGAGGTGGGCATGAGCTTCATGCATGTGAAGGTTTTGTTTTTAAGTAACGCTTAAAATCTTGAAAAAAGTCTTGTCTTGTGCAGAGCTGAGGTTTTGAAGAGTTAGTCTGCGGGAATCATCCCCAGGGGTGGGACTTGGGTCATAGGACTTTCGACATGTTAGACAAAGGCGCTGTCAGCCACATCTGCTGCAGTAGGTGACACGTGATACAGCAGTCTTGGGAAAGTTTAATCTTCCCGTTAATGACAGGCCTGGGGAGTGAGGCACTAAAGAGTACCCTTTGTTCCTTGCTCTTAGCACAGGGCTTTGTTTCTCAAGCCTTTAAAAATAAATTAGACTCAAGATCTGTGAATCTGTGCTGTCACGGCAAAGGCTGGAAAGAAGACTCAGTGGCCTCAATTTTGTCTTTGATTTTGTCGTTCAGAGGAGATCGGGGCAAACTTTGAAACAAATGCTGGCTTTTTATGTGAAATGGTATGTGTTTCATGCACGAGCATGATTCTACAAGTGGCAGAGTGTAACTGTCACTAAGGCTTATTCTGGTCACCCTTAATATTTTTTCTGTTTTCTTCCATCTGTGACTTTGCTGACTAGGGCTAATGTATTTGTAGTCATTATACACTGAAGGGTGAGCTGAGTGATGTTAGCAAGCAATTTGTGGTAGAACAGCTGCACTGGTCTGAGCATTTCAATAAATTCCGGTTCCTCCTCTGCTATTCCAAAAGCTCCACATTTATCATGCTGATTTCTAGCATGGGTACCGAGCTCTGTCAGTGACTCAAGCAGGAGCTCTGGCCTTCTCCGTGAAGCTTTGGATGTAAACGAACGCGTGGTTCATTTCTTTTGGTGAGAAATATGAGGTGGGAGGTGTCTTAGGTTTCCAGCTAAGGGAGCTGGATTTCCAGTAATAGTAGACACCCACAGTTTCCTAAAACTGAAATTTGGGCCTGAAGTTGTTTTTCCTGCCTTTTAAGTCCACATTTTCCTCTGTTACATTAAGAAAACATTTTAGTTTGCTTGCGATTCCCCGTTGTATTTTGCCCGTCTGGGAGAAAACCCACAGGATTATCTGAATATTATAGTTTTTTTACTGAAAATAGAGATTACATGTGAAACTACTTTTAAATGGGGAAAAATTCTAACCTCAGAGAAATTGCGGTGCTTTTCCTGGTGAGGAAGGAGATCATACTGGCCTCAAACAGGTCTTGGGAGGAGGTAGTTCCTCCTGCTTTTTTGAGTTCATGAAAGCTGGGTTTCAGTTTGTGGCCGCAGATGCACAGCTGCTTGGGGAAGGAGTAGAGAAGAGACCAGATCTTGACTAGCCAGACTTCTTCCCGTAAGAAGTATGAGGATTTTTATCCAGCATCATTACTTTTCAGTCTTGGAAAGTATCAACCTATTTCAACGTGGGCTCTGATGATCTTTGAGCTGACCCAGAATGTTTTAAGAAATGAATCAGCTAATAATTGTTTCTCTTGCTGTGTGCTGCCTGGGTCGGGCTGTGCTAACATGCATATGGCTTCTAATTGACATGTATCGCAGCAAGAGGGAGCTGTAAGTGGGAGTAAGACTTGCTGTGGTGCTCAGCTTATTTAGCTGGGAGCATCACTCTTGCTGCAGTTCCTCCTGTCCCTTGGCTAACGGAATAGTCTATCGTGAAGCACTTAATGGACAAAAAAACCACCACACAACCAAAAAAAAACCACCAAAGACAAATCCTCCAGTGTTTTTTAGGTATTTGTGTGCTGCGGGATCAGATTAGTGAACTTAATATCCACATTTCCCAAGGATGCAGCTTTGCAACTATCCTTCCTTTGTCTTGGTTTGGAGTCAAAGCTTTCAGGGTTCTCTCTTGAACCAAAAAAACCTAGGTTCAGTGGCAAGCATGTCATGGCTTTGTTATAATCTCATGTTTTTCATTGTTTATTGGTGGCTTTGATAGTCCATGTTGTTTTTTTGTTTGTTTGCTTTCCGAACAGATTTGAACGATACAGATCGGGACGTTCAACACAAAATGCCAGCAATGGAGTAAGTACTTAACCCCATTTATTACCTCAGCAGCTCCACCATACTAGCCAGACTGATGTCGCTCGCATCCGCCCTTTTACCTGTCCAGCCCTGGGTCCTGCCCGTAGTGGCTAAGAGTGGATACCAGGAAAAGAGCACAAGAATGTGGTAAACTGCAAGTGATAACTTTTAGCTCAGGAAGACACTACACTGAAACATCTCTGTGCTTACAATCCTTGATGGATTTTCTTTCCTCTGTTAACTCTTTTGATTCCTTTTGAGTCCATGTGGACTTCAGGCATTCACAATGTCCTTAAGCAGTAAGTTCCACAGTTTCACTACACATTTTTACATATTTATGTGGACATTTATTTATAATGAATATTTTGGGTTTGTTTGATCAAGTCACTTAATGATTTTTGTTTGCTCCACCTAGTTCTTCTTCACTGTGTCTTACAATACTGCTGTTCAGGTTAATTTTCTTCAAGCCACTCATAATTTTAGGAACCTCTCTCATCTCCTTTTTCAGCGGCCCCTTCTCAAGCTGAAGAGTTACAGTTCTAATTATTTCAATGAAAACTATTTTATAGTTGTTTTATAGTGCTCAAGATCTGAGTTCATGATGAATTCATAATGGCACTATTACATTTTCTATTCTTCATTCTTCTAATCATTTCCTCTCTTTACTTTGCCTCTTTGCGACTTCTACTGCAGTGTAATGCAAACTTCAGCACAGGCTCTGCATTGTAATTTCAGTCACAACAAAGAAGTCTTGTTTCGGAAAACAGTTTATACCTAATGTGGAAGATGCTAGCAAATTCAGTTTGACTTAGATCTGATGTTCTTCTGGTGCTAAAAGAGGTGGAGAGCACAGACACATTAGCTAAATCTGAAGAGATGTAGGTGACCTCCAGGAGAGTTTCTTGCTGCACTAAGCAGTCAAACTGAGTTTTTTTTGGTGGCTGACCTTTTTTATTCTGCAGTTATCACCATAGTATCCAAGAGACTGGTTCATTTGGCAGTCTGCGAGAGAGATCTTTTTGGGAAGCACCCATTATTTTTCAGTGTTTAATGTTGCACTGCAAGAAGAGATCTCTGGCATGTGTAACTTGCTGTGTTTCTTCTGTCCCAACAGGTACTGAACGAGGTGACAGAAGATAACTTAATAGATTTGGGTCCTGGCTCTCCAGCTGTAGTGAGCCCAATGGTTGGAAACTCAGCACCCCCGTCTTCGCTTTCTTCACAGCTTGCAGGGCTTGGTGAGTACCTGATCTAAATAGTGCTGCATGTGAACATGAGGCTGCAATGCATGGACTTTTTCAAGCCTAACCAATCTGTGGATCTTGAACAGCGTGCAGGGGCTGCCAGGCAATCCTGGTGTGTGATTGTGGGAGCAAGTCTGAGTGGTAGTGGAGGTCCCTGTGACTGACCTGAATGCTCAGTACAAGCCCTTATCGCAGTGGGCTGTTGGAATTTATGAGGAGCCATTTTTCGCTTGTGAGTCAGGGAGTTTCTGCTCCCTTTGGCTCAACCTGATTAACGTTGCCATGTAGCCTTCAGAGGGTTCGGGTGTGTGGCTTACAGGATTAGGAAGGCTTTCCCACTCCCCTGCACTGTAGTGATCTGTAATCGGGAACCAGCCTGGCACAAAGGGAGGGCTTTATTAACCAAAGGAGAGACTGAAGGGAAGGGTGCAGGCTCTTCTTTATGGTAAAACTTGTACTACTAGTTTTATTTCTGCTTAGGTATACTCTCCGTGAAATCAGTCTGGTGAATGTTCTTGATTCCTCTTCTACAAATAATATTTGAAATCTTTGGATGAAGGGTTTTATGAAAATGCTAGGTGCTTTACATTAAGTCAAACCAAAGATTGCTTGATAGGATCACTTGATTTGACTGAAGGTTCTCCACCTCTTTCAGCACTGTGCCAATATCACATAACTTGATTTGAAACTGTTGGTTTCACAGTCAATACCTGAGAGACAACATTGTGGAGAAGACTAGCGTCTGTGCCCAGAATTTTGGACCATGTTAGTGAATAGTAAATATCTCAGCATGAGATTGGCAGCAGGTGCACACCAATTCCCAAATGCTGGCTTCTCGATGAGGAGTACTTATGGTGTGGTACTTCCAGGAGGAATAAGACAATCTCTGCATTTGTCTTTTAAGAAATGCACGATTAGCAGCCTCCAGCCTCTTCTGGACAGAACTGTGCTCAGTGCTGCACTGTTGACTAGATGGTATCTATAGCTGTCCTGTATTGTTAATGACATCCTCTGTAACCTACATAGTCATGGCAGCAGTGCTTGCATATGGTTTGCTATTTCATTGGTTCGCTTTTTTTGCCTCTGGTTGCAGACTTGGGTACAAACAGCGTCAGTGGCACGCTCAGCTCTCTACAACACTGTAATCCTCGTGATGACTTCGACATGTTTGCACAGACAAGAGGCAGTTCCTTGGCTGAGCAGCGAAAGAAGTACGTTGGAGTTTGTCTTTAGCGCTATTTGAGTCGCAGCATTGCTGTTTCTAAGGACATAAATCTGAAACTTCTTGACTTCATTCCAGACTAAAAAAGTAGTTTTGGTGTATGTTTTTGTGCTTTTAATCCAATTCCTATCCTATTGGTCATTATTAGTATGAGCAAGTGGAGAAGTTCCTGCTGCTGGGCAGAGCAGACTAGCTAAACAATGTTATTTGACTGTCTTAGTTAATGAGCTCACTGGAAACTTGGAAATGAACTTGTCTTTACTTCTGCAGATGCTTCCTCTCATAAAGGCTTGTCATCCCATCCACCCGGCCAGTGCCTGAGATAAAGGAGCATAAGGGTCCTTCACCTGAAGGTCATGGATATACTTTGGTGACTGAATTACTGTCATCAGGGGCTTGGAAATAGAATTACCATCCAGTTAAACTCTCCCTTTGGCCCAGCAGTCAGACTCTCACAGGCTGTCAAGGCAGTATAGCTTGCCTGGCTGCCATGCTATCCCTAATTTGTTTATATGCATAGGGATTGCATCCCTCGAGCTGCAAACCTGGCACTTTCAAGGGCATTTAACAGGTCAAATTATTTTAATGTAAAATAAATCTATGCACTTATTAAGAAATCCTTTGATCCCTGTCAAGTGAGATTTGGCAAGAGACACACTCAGGTGTTTTTCTTTCATATATTATTTCTTGCCTCCTCCTGGTTTCAGATTCTAGAGGATATAGTGGCTACCAGCAGTCAGAACACCATCAGTATCTTGTCTCAAACTAAGAAATGTTGTTAAATAGTTTAGCTGAGGCCTTAGCAGATTAACGAAAACTTACCAGCTCTGGAAAACTTAAGCCAGCAAATTTATTAGGATCTTTTATGTGCAGTTATCAATATAGCCTCAGCTGTAGTATCAGTGTTGAGAAGACGTGCTCTACTGTAGAGGCGTATGTTACCACTGGAGATTTCAGGCTGAGAGCCCTAATGTATTGTCAGAAAGGAGATGCATTGCAGAGAGATTTAATGGAGGTCCCTCTGTCTCTTGTGCTAAATGAAGCACGAAACTAGTCTTCCCACACTGCACCTCTATCTCCTGCGAGCTAATGGAACAAGGAGCATGTATCAGTCCCTGATTTCACAAGGGAGGAATGCTTTATCTTTCTTGGGCTGTATGCTGTATAAATGGAGCAGCAGCGAGGCAGTAGAGACGTAACTGTGACTTGCCACAGCGCGTAGGTGAGAGCCTCTGGGCGCTGTGCTCGGAGCTTGGGAGAAGCCAGCATGCTGGAGGAGAAAGTGCTCTTCCTGCTCAGACATCCAGCTCCTCCCAGGGGCTGATTTATGGGCAGGTGTTGGCATCTGCTTCAGCTCATGGCTCACCACTGTGCTCTGGGAAATGATGCTCTTGCCTCTGTCACCTGACTGCTACATGTCCCTTTTGCATAGCAATTTAAGAAGCTTTTTAAGAATCCAACCTCTCTAAATAGTGCATCTCTTTGTATGCTTCACTGTAGTTGCTTAGTTATGTTTCATCTGTCTTTGAGTCTCCCTCCGCCTCCCACCATGCATGCATCAAGGTCAGGCTTCCAAATGTCATCTTCTAAGCTTTGCAAAATGTAATCTGTCATCAGGCCTCTTTTCATAGTCCCTTGCTAGCTCTTGGACACGCTTACGGTGCCTCATAACCTATTTGCCTACCTTTCATAATGCCAGTCTTGCTCTTTTTGCTTCAATATGCTTACTGAAACTGATGGATAGTCTTTATACAGAGCACACTCCTCTTCTTGGAATACACTTAGTACACTTGAAGTCTTGTTAGGAAAAAGAATGTGCTTTCTGATTTCCAGGGGAGTAAATCAGAGTAGCAAGTGCGTTCTGCCATGGGTGACTGCTGGACTTCCTTCTACTTCTGTGGTTTGTTCCTTTCTTTCAGCGTGACGTATGAGGATCCACAGGCTGTCAAAGGACTAGCATCTGCCCTGGATGTTCGAAAACAGAACACAGGAGGGGTAAGTTGTTGCTCTGCGTTTTGTTATCTGAAGCTGTGCGTGGAATCCAAGCTGTAGGCAGCTGCTTTGACCGAGACTTCTCATTCTGTATTCCAGCAACGTGCTAGTACTGGCTATTTTGAAACTGATATCTAGGAGCAAATACTTGCCCAGTAATGATCTCTAAAGAGCTGCTACTTAGCACACCAGCCTAAACGACTTCAAAATCATAGTGTGTAAATGCTCCTGTGTTCTTGCAGCTTGTCTGGGCGGTCCAGCTCTTTGACTGGAATCACTGCTGAAAAGAATAACTGGGGAACGTCCTGTGAACACTGGTGTGCATTTGTTTGGTTTGTTTTTGCTTATGAAAGTTGATGCAATCTTAATCTACTAGACTTTGCTCTAAGTGCGTGGATACATAAACAAGTTACAGGGAGAGAAATCATGCAGACTTTTAATGCTTCATAAGCCTTGCCATAACTACCCTTGCATGCAGTCTGTGCTGTCTGTCCCAGGGCAGGCCCCTGCTATCTTGTGTGGGCAGAGGAGGCCCATGCGCTGTCACCTCGCAACAGCCAATGCTACAAACATGTTTGAGAGAGTGAGCTTGGCCAGCTTTGTCCTCATACCTCGGTGAAGGCAGAAGTGAAAAGAGCTTTCAGGTTGTCCCTCAACCCCTTTTTACCACCCCGCTTTTTAAAACTGTCCTGCTCTTTTGTACTCGGCTGTGTGTAAGTTTTTAGATGACCGGGCAAGTTCAGAGCCTTTCCTAGTCTATGCTGACCACCAGGGAGCACGGGAGAGCCAGTGCAGCATACACATGCTTCCTTCCAAGGGAGAATTGCCTCCCCATGCCTTGGTTGATCCTGCCCTGCTTCTTTCATAAGTTGAAATGGGAGTGCTCGGGGCATCTGGCATGCCTGGCAGCTTGTGCTCTGAGCCAGGGAGAGTTTGTGTTCGGAGCCAGCTGAGGTCAGATCACAGCTGCCTGCCTGCCTGGGCCATAGTTCAGTGCTATCATGGCTTCAGCAATGATTTCTTATGGAGCATCCCCCTGCCTCACAAATCTATCTGTTTGTTCCTGTCCCTATCCTCCTGCAAAAAGGGTGATTTATAACCCAGGTCAGCCCCGTGACCAGTTTCAAGCTTGACCCCACAAAAACTCATGCTAGCAGTACTGAGGGAAAAGGGGAAAGCATGGGGAGGCAGGGGCACAAGTATATTAAGGGGGGGTGAGAGAAGAATTCCTGAAGCCAGTGTGACAAGCCAAGCCCCCAGTGCCACTGAGCTGCGTTATTGGCAGGACCTGGGAAAGGATTTGAGATTCTGCTCTTTGTTCCTGGCTAACCAAATGCAAGGGGCTTGCATTTAGCTGCTGGTCAAGGGGGCTGTATTCCTCTGGTGGCCACGGGGTTATGTCCTTATTTATTAACATTTTTGTTCTCAGCCAATTCTGCTTGAGGCACCAATGCGACGTGTCATTCACACCAGCATAGCTGCTGCTCTGCCCAAAGTGGTGTCAGTTCAAAGGGCTGTGTCTAAGCTAATCTGACGGTCAAAGTTTTTTGGGGCAAACGCTTTATAGGTTGTGGAACTTTGGGCTCTGAGATGTTGTAGAGACTTTCAGCCTCTTTTCAAAGGTCCTGATGACGGTATCGTGTAATCAAAATAGCTCGTTTTGAAATGCAGTCTTTCGGTAATTGGTAAAGACTATTTTTTGTCAAGTGTTGTGAGGCTTGTGGGTGTCTCTTCTTAAAGGAAATAAAAATTAAACTCTCCTAAAGTTACTAGCCCAAGCATGTGTAGCAAAAAGCTGGCAGTGCTCAGTAAATGCAAGGCACGCGTTAATTTGGTTAGAGAGCTAATTTAAGAACAGCTCTAGGGAGGAGCCAAAAGCTTTGCAACACATTCTTCACACACGTCTTGTTCCAGCACAGTTGTCCAGTGGTAAAATTCAGCACATCCGACGTTTCTAATGTAGTCATTCTCAGAATGGTCTGTAGAGAGGTGGCTGATCACGTGGCATTAGCTGTCTTTTAATATGATTTAGCAGCTGGAAACAAGACGAGCTAAAAATACACTGTTTTCTTAATATTGCTTTTCCATGTTGGGAATTGCTTTTGTTGCCACAGAGTTGTTGCGTGATCACAACTGGGAGGAGAGGTGTCCAAGAAACAATTCTCTAGTGTTACACACATAGTAGATGAAGTTGGAGTGATTTTTTTTTTTTTTTCCCCCCCTTCTTTTTTTCTCAGCACAAGTACTGAAATAAGACATAAAAGATTACAGCTGATTCCCCATTATCTGTGGTAATGGGGACAGGAGAGGTATCTCATGTATATGGGTATCTGGACGGAGGTACATAAACTCACTGGTGGCTCTCTGTTGAGCTAGCCCAGTTCTTACAGGGCTGGTGGGCTGAAACCACTGTGCTCTGCCAGTCCCGAGCAAGCCCCTCCAGAGCTAGAAATGACTCTGCATCCGAGCCCTGGCTCAGGGATGAGATCCTGAAGGACAAGAAGCTATCTTGAGCATCTCTGTGTTGCTGTGCCATGCAGTCTGCAACCTGCTCAGAGGAACTGGATGCATCAGCGATCCTTTTAACCTCTGCTGCTCTTCGAGAGGGGCAGTTTGAAAGACTGCCAGAACACTGCAGCAAACTGCCATTACTTACCCTCCTGCTCAACGCCATCATTAGAGCTGTCATACTGTTAGAGTTTGGGGCAGAGTCTGTCTGCTGAGATCAAGGAGGTAAGCCGGGTGTGCTGCAACTCACAGCTTCATAAACAGAGGAGACTCCACAGTGCGTACTACTAATATTTCCAGTAAAGTCTCACTGATTTTAGTAGGTTGTATAGCCTACACTTTTTCTTCTTCTAAGAAGATGACAAACATCAGCCTCACTACTAGTCAGTGAATTTTAATACCGGCACGGAGGAAGTGCTGAAATTCTGTGAACTGTCTGTAGGAAGCGTAGACGTCGGGGTGAGGTCTGTCCCTTCACGGACAGAGCTGACAGGCAGCAGAGGGAGGTGCAGCTGCTGCCAGAAGCTACCATAGGCAACTCTGGGTGTGTGTATGTATATGTGAAGTTTTTAACTTGCTGCTGTTATATTACTTTATCACGGGTTGTTGCTGTGGTTTCTCTCTTTATGGACCTTTCTGTTCTCAACACAGAGGAGAGGTAAAGGTGGGAACTCAGACATGGAGCCCATAGACAAGTGGCTAATTACACAAGGAATGGTGAGGACTTCACCAGTGAAGCGATTCCTACTGTCCACCCCAGTCCCTTTACCTAGAATAACCATCCTCCATTCACCTCTTGTCCTGCCCTACTGAACCACTTGAAATCAGACAGTACAAGGAGTTTATTTCCCACCTATATCATTACCTGGGGCAAAGGGAAAAATTTGCACCAATTTCTGGTTTATACAGCACAAAGGCCTGTAACCAACTGAATCATTTGGAGGACCCCACATCACCTTCAGAAGAGGCCTGGGGATCCAATTGGTTCCTTATACTGTCTTGATTTATTTATGCAGTATCCACTTTTCAAGGGATAAACACAAGTCTCGTGGATCTTTTTCATAAAGAGGACACTTTCTATGTGTCTTTAAAGCAGCCTTTTCTGGTAGTGCTTAACTTCGTGGTCTGAAATAAACATACAGAAGTTGTAGGATCATACCTAATTGAATTGAGTAATGTAGGGATAGTTCTTTATGAAAGGAAGGGAATGGGAGAACTGCTACCCAGATGGACACCCCACTGGCATTAGGATTCGGACTCCAAAAGGTACAATAGTGTTTCTGGCTTTAAGGATTTAATTCCCATGTCTAGTGATGCCAGTGCTCTGATAAAAGCAAGCTTCTGAAGATCACTGAATCTGTGCACATTTTGACCTTATTTGAAGTTGTCCTTCATCAACATGCTTGCAGAGAGAAGTTCAAAAGCCGACTTTAAGTGCAGAAGTTGGAGACAGATAAAAAATAGCCTCAGCTATGCCTTAAAGCCAAGTTCTAAGACCAATTTTGTATTTTTGGACGACGTAATCCATCACTTTAAGTGTTTGAGATTAGTACCAATAAGGTGACCTAACTGTACAAAGTCCTTCTGAGACAGTCCTGGCTGCAGCCGAGTTCAGAAAGGTGCGGTGCAGATTTCCCTTTGGGCTGGGGTGTGCTTGCAGCGGAGCGTGTGGGGCTGGGCGTCAGGAGGTCCATGGAGCCGGAATGCCTCACGCCAGGGAGAGCCTTGAACGTCCCAGACTAAGCTGCCCAGTGCTTAAAAAGAGAAACATCCCAGAGAATTTAAGGTTGAGAAAATCCAGAATGTGCAATATCAAAGTGCACCAACTCTGTGAAACACTTTGCATTTATTCTTCTAGACTTAGGGCTAATCCAGATTATTTCTGAGGGCCAGTTTGTGAGTTTGTCAGAAGTTTGCATGGCCGGTGCATGCACAGCGACTGGACACGTGCGTATATACGGTCGTATCTGCTTGCCCCTGCAAGCACATGTGGGTAGGCCCAGCTGTAGGTACCTATCCTTGGGAGCCAGAGTTTTATTTCGGTGCTTGTCAGCGGCCCACAGCTCATAACATGAGAGTGAAAGCCGTAAAGTGAGCAGCACTTGCTTTGCCTCTGATACTGTTGACTGTCGCTCACAGGGGCTCTTGCTGTTCGGTGGCTCTGTTGCAGTCAGAGATGTACTATGCCACTGTTAGATGTTCATCTATAATGAATAATCCAGTGATTGAGTTAGTTCCTCTTCTTTGCCTTTCCACTGTTTACAAGAGCAGGGAAGCATGAAATCAGCACCCCTGCTGTTCACACCACTCACACCACTGCTTTATTAAAAAAACAAACACAATATTAATTCATTGGCTTGTGGTTATTCAGTCTGGAAAAAGGATACTGCTGCATTCATGGAGGCATACGGATTTGGAGGGGGTGGGGGGAAGGGGGTCTGGCTGTCCAGCCAGTCACTGCTCTTACAAGCCTGTCGCCTTGTTTGTATGCTAAA